GTCATTCTTGCAGGGGTAAGGTACTATCTCATTATGATTTTGATTTGCATTTCCCTGATCATTAGTGATGTTGAGCATTTTTCCATGTTTGTTGGCCATTAGTATATTTTCTTTTGAGAACTGTCTGTTCATGTCCTTAGACCACTTTTGATGGGATTGTTTGCTTTTTTCTTACTGATTTGTTTGAGTTCACTGTAGCTTCTGGATATGAGTCCTTTGTCAAATGTACACAGTGTGAATAGTGTGAATATCTTCTCCCACTCTCTGGGTTGTCTGTTTACTCTGCTGACTGTTTCTTTGGCTGTGCAAAAGCTCTTTAATTTAATTAGGTCCCAGCTATTTATCTTTGATTTTATTGCATTTGCTTTTGGGTTCTTGGTCATGAATTAGTTACCTAAGTCAATGTCTAGAAGGATTTTTCCAATGTTATCTTCTAGAATTTTTAGTGTCAGAATTTAGGTTTAACACCTTAGTCCATCTTGAGTTGATTTCTATATAAGGTGAGAGATGAGGATCCAGTTTCATTCTTCTACATGTGGCTAACCAACAATCCCATCACCATTTGTTGAAAAGGGTGTCCTTTTCCCTCTTTATGTTTTTATTTGCTTTAGCAAAGATCAGTTGGCTGTAAGTATGAAGGTTTATTTCTGGGTTCTCTATTCTGTTTCATTGGTCTATATGCCTATTTTTATATGATTACCATGCTGTTTTGGTTACAATTGCCTTATAGTATATTTTTAAATCACGTAGAGTGATACCTCCAGATTTATTCTTTTTGCTTAGTCTTGTTTTGGCTATGTGGGTTCTTTTTTGGTTCTATATGAATTTTAAAATTCTTTCTTTTTCTAGTTTTATGAAGAATAATGGTGGTATTTTGATGGAGATTATGTTGAATTTGTAGATTGCTTTTGGCAGTATGGTCATTTTCACAATATTGATTCTATCTGTCCGTGAGCATGGGATGTGTTTCCATTTGTTTATGTTATCTAGGATTTCTTTCAGCAGTGTTTTGCAGTTTTCTTTATAGAGGTCTTTTGACTCCTTGGTTAGGCATATTCCTAAATATTTTATTTATTTATTTATTTATTTATTTGCAGCTATTGGAAAAGTAGAATTGATTTGATTCTCCATTTCATCACTGTTGGTACATAGAAGAGCTATTGATTTGTGTACATTAATCTCTTATCAAGAAACTTTGACGAATTCTTTTATCATTTCTAGGAGCTTTTTGGAGAAGTCCTTAGAGCTTTCAAGGTATACAATTATATCATCAACACACAGTGATAGTTTGACTTCCTCTTTGCTGATTTTGATGCCCTTTATTTCTTTCTCTTGTCTGATTGCTCTGGCTAGAACTTCCAGTAGTATGTTGAAGAGGAGTAGTGAAAGTGGCCAACCATGTCTTGTTCCATTTCTCAGAGGAATGCTTTTGTTTTTTCTCCATTCAGTATTATGTTGACTCTGGATTTGTCATAGATGGCTTTTATTACATTAAGGTATGTCCCTTGTATGTCTATTTTGCTGACAGTTTTAATCATAAAGGGATGCTGGCCTTCAGGAATGCCTTTTCTGCATCTATTGAGATGATCATGTGATTTTTATTTTTAATTCTCTTTATGTGGTGTATTACATTTATGAACTTGCATATGTTAAACCACTGCATCCCTGGTATGAAACCCACGTGATTATGGTGGATTATATTTTTGACATATTGTTGGATTCGGTTAGCCAGTATTTTGTTAAGGATTTTAGCATCAATGTTCATCAAGGATATTGTTCTGTAGTTTTGTTTTTTGGTTGTCCTTTCCTGGTTTTGGTATTAGGGTGATGCTGGCTTCATGAAATGAATTAGGGTGGGCTTCGCCTTTCTCTGTCTTGTGGAATAGTGTCAAAATAATTGGTACCAATTCTTCTTTGAATGTCTAGCAGAATTCTGCTGTGAATCCATCTGGTTCTAGACTTTTCTTGTTGGTAATTTTAAAATTACCATTTCAATCTTGCTGCTTGTTATTGATCTGTTCAGGGTATCTAATTCTTCCTCATTTAAGCTAGGAGAGTTATATTTTTCCAGGAATCTATCCATTTCTTCTACATTTTCTAGTTTATGTGCAGAACGGTGTTTATAGTAACTTTGAATGATCTTTTCTATTTCAGTGATGTCAGTTATAATATCTCATGTTTCATTTCTTAATGATGTTATTTGGATTTACTTTCTTCTTTTCTTGGTTAATCTTACAGTAGCCTATCAATTTTATTTATCTTTGCAAAGAACTGGCTATTTGTTTCGTTTATCTTTTGTATTTTTTTATTGTTGTTTCAATTTCATTGAGTTCTGCTGTAATCTCGGTGGTTTCCTTTCTTCTGCTGGGTTTGAGTTAGGTTTGTTCTTGTTTCTCTAATTCCTTGAGGTGTGACATTAGAATGTCAGTTTGTGCCCTTTAAGTCTTTTTGATCTAGGTTCTTCAGGATATGAAACTTTCCTTTTAGCACTGCCTTTGCTGTATCTCAGAGGTTTTGATAGATTGTGTCATTATTGTCATTCAGTTCGAATAATTTTTAAATTTCCATCTTGACTTTTTGGCCCAATGTTCATTCAGGAGCAGGTTATTTAAGTTCCATGTACTTGCATGGTTTTGAAGGTTACTTTTGAAGTTGATTTCCAGTTTTATTCCACTGTGGTCTGAGAAAGTGCTTGATATGATTTCAGTGTTCTTAAATTTACTGAGGATTGTTTTATGGCCTATCATATGGTCTATGTTGGAGAAAGTGCCATGCACTGTTTAATAGAATGTGTATTCTGCAGTTGTTGGATGAAATGTTTTGTATGTGTATCTGTTAAATTCATTTGTTCCACGGCGTAGGTTATCTATTGTTTCTTTGTTGACTTTCTGTCTTGATGATCTGTCTAGTGCTGTCAGTGGAGTATTGAAGTCCCCAACTATTATTGTGTTGCTATCTATCTCATTTCTTAGTAATTGTTTTATAAATTTGGGAACATCAGTGTTAGGTGTGTATATGTTTAGGATTGTGACATTTTTCTGTTGGACAAGGCCTTTTAAAATTATATAATGTTCCTCTGTTTCTTTTAGCTGCTATTACTTTAAAATTTGTTTTGTCTGATATAGCAATAGCTACCCCTGCTCACTTTTGGTGTCCATTTGCATGAAATGCCTTTCCCACCCCTTTACTTTATATGAGTCCTTATGTGTTAGGTGAGTCTCCTGAAGGCAACAGATGGTTGGTGAATCCTTATCCATTCTGTGGTTCTGTATCTTTTAAGTGAAACATGTAGGCCATTTACATTCAGTGTATTTCAATGTAAGGTGCCGTTGTATTCATTGTGCTTTTTGTTGCCTGTGTACTTTGGTATTATTGTTTTTTGTTTTTGCTTTTTAACATGTATTTTTGTTTTATAGGTCCTGTGTGATTTAGCTTTAAAGAGGTTCTGCTTTGACGTGTTTCCAGGATGTGTTTTATTATTTAGACCTCCTTTTAGCAGTTCTTATAGTGGTGGCTTGGCAATGGCGATTTCTCTCAACATGTGTTTGTCTGAAAACAATTGTATCTTTTCTTCCAATGTGATGTTTCGTTTTGCTGGATACAAAATTCTTGGCTAATTGTTTGGAGACTGAAGATAGGGCCCCAAATCCCTTCTAGTTTGTGGAGTTTGTCCTGAGAAGTCTGCTGTTAGTCTGATAGGTTTTTCTTCATAGGTTATCTGGTGCTTCTGCCTGACAGCTCTTAAGATTCTTTCCTCTGTTTTAACTTTGGATAATCTGATGACAATGTGCCTAGGCAAAGATCTTTTTGCAATGAATTTTCCAAGTGTTCTTTGTGCTTCTTGTATTTGGCTGTCCAGGTCTCCAGAAAGGCCAGAGAAGTTTTCCTAGATTATTCCCCTGAATATGTTTTCCAAGCTTTTAGAATTCTCATCTTCTTCAGGATCACTGATTATTCTTAAGTTTGGTCGTTTAACATAATCCTAGACCTCTTATGGACTTTATTCATATTTTCTTACTCTTTTTTCTTCATCTTTGTTGGATTGGTTTAATTTGAAGACTTTGTCTTCAAGCTCTGACTTTCTTCCTTCAACGTGTTCAATTCTATTGCTGAGACTTTTCCATTTCACATTTCTAAAAGTGTGTCCAAAATTTCCAAAATTTTTGTTTTTTCTTTAAGCTATCTATTTTCTTGAATATCTCTCCCTTCACTTCTTGTATTTTTTTTTTTAATTTCCTTGCATTAGGCTTTACCTTTCTTTAGTCCCTCACTGATTAGCTTAATAACTAACCTCTTGAATTCTTTTTCAGGTAAATCAGGGATTTCTTCTTGGTTTGGATCCATTGCAGTGAACTATTGTGATTTTAGGGGCTGTTAAAGAACCTCGTTTTGTTATATTACCAGGGTTGGTTTTCTGGTTCCTTTTCATTTGGGTAGCCTCTGTTGAAGGGAAGGTCTAGAGCTGAAGGCTGTTGTTCAGATTCTTTTGTTCCACAGGGTGTTCCCTTGATGTAGTATTCTCCCCCTTTCCCTGTCGATGTGGCTTCCTGTGAGCCAAACTGCAGTGATTGTTATGTCTCTTCTAGGTTGAGCCACCCAGAGAGTCCCGGCTCTGGGCTGGTACTGGGGGTTGTCTGCACAGAGTTCTGTGATATGAACCATTTATGGGTCTCTCAACTGTGGATATCAGTGCCTGTTCCAGTGGTGTGCAATGGATTCCTTAAGTATTCTTAGCTTTGGTGGTTTCTCTATTTTTGTGCTGATTGGATTCCTTCCAGGAGGTGGTGCTTTTCAAAAAGCATCAGCTGCAGTAATGTGGAGTCAGATCTGCAGAGGGTGGGGCTGTAGAACTCCTGAGGTTATATGCCCTTTGTCTTCTGCTACTAAGGTGGATAGGGAAGGACCATCAGATGGGGGCAGGTTGAGGTGTGTCTGAGCTCAGACTCTCCTTGGGCGGGTCTTGCCGCAGCTGCTGTGGGGGATGGCAGTGACATTCCCAGGTGACTGAAGTTGTGTACCTAGGAGGATTATGGCTTCCTCTGCTGAGTCATGCAGGTTGTCAGGGAAGTGGGAAAAAGCCTGCAGTTGTAGGCCTCACCCAGCTCCCAAACAAATCAAAGAGCTAGTCTCACTCCCACTTTGCCCCTGCACAACAACCCCAAGTCTATTTCCAAGCAGAGGGCAGGATGGGCTTGAAAACTTGCCCCAGGTTTCCCATCTCCCAGCTATGAAAGAAAAGGGCTTGGTTCTTCCCATGCCTGTGGAGCCTGCACACCAGGTTTCTGCCCTCCCTCAAGTTCTGGCCAGGAGGTTTCTCACCCTGTTCAAATTGTTACAAAGTTTACCTAAAGAATTTCTTCTCCCTGTGGAGTTTTACCTCCTCTTCCTGTGGTCATCCTCCTGATGGATCCCTGTTGTGCCAGGCAGGAATAGCCTGCTAGGGGATGCAATGAGCTCCCAGAGCCTTTCTGCTGCTGCCTCTACCCGTGTATTTCACTCAGGTCTCTAAATTGACTCAGCTGCAGGTAAAGTCAGAAACGTATCTTGCAAACAGACCTTCAGCTTCTCCAGTGGCAGTGTGTGTTCGGGAAAGGAGGGTCTCCCTTTCTCACTTCCACAGATGGGGTACTCACAGTATTTGGAGTGTCTCCTGGGTTATGCAGGAGTAGTCCACTTCCTTCAGAGGGTCTGTGGGTCCTCTTGTGATTGCTGGTTTGTTCTCATAGGTTATCTGAAGCTAAAATTCATAATATGAGCTTCCACAAGCTGTTCTGCCCTGAGCTGTAATCTAGTCTTCCACCTGTCTGCCATGATTGCATCTGTGTCACTTTTAATTTCTTAGATAGTATTTTTATAAACTAAAGTTTCAGAGCCACAAATTCTAACTTCAAAAATAACACAAACAAGCCACTGAACTTTGTTAATGCACAATTTTCTTAGATGTAAATTGGGGATAATTGTATTCACCTCATAAGATCACTGTGAAGATTCAATCAGATAAAACCAGGATGAAACATATCAAACATGCAATATTTAGTAGAAATTTTTGTCATTATTATTGATTTTGAGTTTATGTTTCCTGGGCTGGTTCAATGGAAATACAAGAGATAAGAAGATATTTCAAAAGATAAAAGATAAAATATTTTTAAGAAAGTAATTCAAGTAAGATTATAAAATGTATACATTACTGATTACAGTGAAGTCAGAAAAATTTGGCAGAATGAAATAAAAATGAGTTCTGGAGGGTCTGAGACTCTCAACAATGTCAAAGAAGATTTGTAGTGAACTTATCTGGAGAGTTAGCAGGATGAAGAGTGGAAAAAAAGCATGTGTTCCTTCACCTTGAATTTCCAGAATGGAAGTGTGTGTGCATGTGTGTGTGTCAGTAGTATCCATATAAAATTGTTGGAAATGTGATAATATTATCAAAAGTGCATGAAATCAATTACAAAGACACAAAACATAAGACATTGGACAATTTGATATGTCATAACTTAAAACCCTTGAGAGAAAACAAAATTCTATTTCTATTGCATCCAAATAATCTTTTCTCTCCCCTAAAAAAGTTGTATCAGTCTTTATGAGAGTAAAGGGTTATAGAACAAAACAGAGGAAAATTGCCAAAAAGCAGGAAGTTAAAATGTAAGATTTCCTTGTTCTGGTGCCTCCTGGCTATGTCAAAGTGCAAAATATAACCTCAAAATTAAGTTATTAAAACGGAGTTGAAGAGCAACGGGGCTGACGTCAAAGGCCTGTGACAGAGATTGTTGCATGGATTGTAAATATAGCTGGGGGATGGCAAGGTTTGAGGGTGAGAAAAAAAGCTGTACTCTAGAGGCAATGAAATAATCAGTGGAAGAGGGATAGAATACAGGAGCTGACTGATGGAAAATAGCAGAGTGTAAAGGAACCATAGTCAGGATATGCACCTCACTGACATTAGGTCAAAACAGTAATGCTTTATGAGTGAGTCAGCATTGTGAAGCTGAAATTTCTTTCTGCTCCTCTTTCCTCCAGTTCCCATGAGCATGAGAGAATAAGCAATGCATGCTCACGCAGGTTCCAAGGAACCGAGTACCTCTGAGGAGCACCAGATTTCAGTAAGACAGAGATCTGACCTGTAAAAAGGTCAAGAATGTTGGGAAAGCCATTTATTGTGGAGGGGGGCAGGCCCAATCTCCTGACTTCTCTCAGTGCCCTCAAATAGATCCTCACTCTCAAAAAGGGACCCTTTTACTGGGGCTTAATGCTCTGTGGATATCATCTTGAAATTTTTAACAAGGCTATCTTGGAATTTGTGTTCTGTAAGTGGAATCCGATGGAATCTTAGTAGATGTGCCAGAGCTTGGAATCTTGGCTCACCTGTGAAACTGCCTTTCCACTGATTTCCCACCTCCTCACCTTCGTAGGACAGAATCACAGCTATCTTCTCTCCTCCCCTGCCCAATGACAACTGCTACTCCTAGTGGGGGCCTAGGCATGGGCTTGAGAAGGGACAAGGTCAGGCATATGAGCCCCACAGATGGAGTTGTGGGCAGGACCCAGGTATCTGTGAGAGTTTGCACTTGCCTGGCATATTATGTAATCCACACCCCAAAGAGCATGAGATTAAACAACAAAACAACAAAAAAAGCCCCATAACTGGTTTAGACAGAAAACACAGAAAGAAAAAGATTTTTTTTTTTTTTGCCTGCTTTTTGTACAAAGAGCCCTGCATTGACATTTTGCGCTGGGCCCCACACATTTGTAGCTGGTTCTGATTGGAGGTTTCCAAAGGTTACAGTGGAAAGAGTATAGAAGGAAGGCAATGGTGAAGAGTTGGGAAAAAGAAGCATCAATGAGACTTTATGGGAAAATGGATTGATACACTGAGATAACAGAGGTGATGGACTTAACATTTTGATAAGTCGCTAAGGGTAAGTTTGAAAGACAAAGTTAGTCTGTCAAAGATCCAAATGGCATTCTGGCCAAAGTTTTAGTAAGGACATCGAACTCCAGTGCTTAATTTTATTGCCCATGGCCTCTGCTCAGGGTACCAAACATAAAGTTAAGAGGTTTGTCTAAGTGGTTTCAATAAATCCTTATCCAGAGGCTATTTAGAAACTTCATCTTAAATTTGAAACTACTCCTCATAGTGAATACAGGAGCAACCTTATGGTATTTGTGAGCAGGAAGAAGCCAAGGGAAGGCAGTGGAGACGCAGTATGAGTCCCATTATGAAGAGCTGGTTACAGCCAAAACATTAGTGAGCATACAAAGGGATAAGAAAAAGCTTTGAGTCTTAAGTTTCTAGTGGCCAACATTTTAACTCTAATGAAAGCCCTTAATTTCTTTGAGGTTTATCTGTAAAATGGGAAGGGTGATGATTTCTGCTTTTTGACTGCTCAGGCTATTGCAAATGTCAAAGTACATAATTCATATAAAGTTTCTTTGCAAATAACTACTGTAATATTTTTTTTTTTTGAAGTCTTATGGGATGCTTTGATTACTCTGTGATTGCATTTAGGAGAGGGAAGCTGTAGTCATGTGTCATCACTGCCAGCCTCACATCTCTTGATATGGTTAAAGCCTTAGGGTGGAGCAAGAGAAATTTTAAAATAACAAACAAAGCAAAAGCAAGAGGTGACATTCCAAAGCAGAGGAAGACTAATTTTATATGTACAAATGTCAAGTGTGTACGGGTGTCTCAGAAGGTTTATATGTTCTATATAAATATAGAAATAAGAAGACTGAATAGGAAAAAAGCTTTTATTTTTCTGAATTTTAGAATATTTTCTGCTCCATATCATTTATCTACATTTAGGAAGGCTGTTTTTCTGTTTTAATGTCTTCTCCTGTCTTTCAGTATATTATGGAATGGGCTAAGGTATAAGTGGCTTCGCCATGCCTGGTCACCTGTTTCATTCACCAGTGGGATACCCCACCTAAAGGAGCTGTCACAAAAGAGCAGCTATGGGCAGCCTGAAAAACAGTGACAACAATTATAACTCTAAAGAGATAGATGAAACCTATTGTTATTTATTAAATAACAGATGTCGTCGGAGCTTTAGGAAAAAAGCTGTAAGCAATGAGCCCAGACTAAAATTTGAGCATGATTTTTCATGCTGCATCCATAACTAACCACAATCCCAGAACTAATGTTTCTGAAATATATTTTCTCTAATATATATTTAAGTTCTTAAAGTAGCTAATATCCACATATCCAGTTTTGTAAGACTTTTGAGAACAGGTTTTAAATTCATATTGTGTCACCCCCCAAAAATTGTATTTTCTCTTCTGTGTAGATGAAGATAGTATTATTAATAGCTAGAGATTATTAATAGCCAGAGCGGGTGTATATATATCTTTATATACATATACACACGTATTAGCTCAATTTTCTTAGATGGAAGTGCCTGTACAGCTTCTTTGAAAAGATCGCCACCTAGGGGAAATTAACAAGTCAATACAACATCTGCAATGCACCACACATGCTGCATAATATTTAATGGCATATGTATTTAAGAAAAAGAAATGTGCAAAATGGTGTTATATTTCAGCAAATGTGGTAGGCCACCTAGGGAAAATAGACTACCTTATAGGCCTAGAAAGTGTGCTTGTGTAAAATTTTATTATTTCTAATGAACATAGAACTGCATGTAGCTTTTCTTCATTCATAAGGGCTTGATTTTAATGTCTCCCTCCATATCTAGAGAGAGTTTATAATATATATATATATATTTTTAGAAAATAGATATCCATTTAATTATGAGTATAGAACTTACATTTTTGGCAACTTTTGCAATTAAAAATAATAGTTTTAATCAGTACCCTGGAAGTGTTTAAGATTCTAACATGTAAACGAATTTCTATGTGAATTCAGTCTCAAAAATTAACAAAGACATTTCTTCTTCAACTTATTTGTTTGTTTCTGAGAATTTATAACTATATCTCCAAATGAGAGGCAATTAAAGTGGGAAATAATTTACTTGGTTAATTCAAGTAAAAATGGATTATTTTTCTTTACTTCACTTTCTGATATATACATATAAATACATATATGTACATATGTATACACACACATATATAAAATATAATACACACATATATAATATATATTATATATATATTATATATATTATATATATATATTATTTATTTTTTTTTTGAGACAGAGTCTCACTCTGTCACCAGGAGCCAGGATGAAGTGAATGGCGTGATCTTGTCTCACTGCAACCTCCGCCTCCCTGGTTCAAACAATTCTCCTGCCTCAGCCTCCCGAGTAGCTGGGACTACAGGTGTGCTCCACCATGCCCAATATTTTAGTAGAGATGGGGTTTCATCATGTTGGCCAAGTTGGTCTTGATCTCTTGACCTCGTGATCTGCCCGCCTTGGCCTCCCAAATTGCTGGGATTGCAGGAGTGAGCCACTGCATGGCCCAATTTCTGATATTTTTAATAAATGTCTTAGAAAATCACCGTGTTTTCTAAAAGCACATTTAACATAAAATATGATCCGTGTTTTCTTTACATGCTATGTTGCAGATATGGGAACTTTAAAGAGAGCAACATATCTTTAAGTTGAAATGATTTAGCAGCCATAAAAAATTTATGTTTTGTTTTACAAAAACAAGCTACTATTTTCAAAAGTCAACTTTCTAAAAAGTCCTAAATATGATTTTAAATTTTGTGCTCTGAAGATAATTTTTGGTTAATTTGATAGTTTGGATCATAAATTTTAATGCATTAAGGTTATAAAACCGGCAAGAGTCTAATATGGAAGAAAAAACGGAGGGGATTCTTTGAAAAAGTTTTATCTATGCTGTGTTTACAATTACTAGAACAATAGTTGTCAAATTGTCTAGTGATTGCCTTTTAACTCAATCTTCTGAATAAAGTGGAAAATCCCTTGGTGACAGTGAATATTTTTATATGCAATTATTTCTGAGGTGCCATTTGGGCAGTGTCTGTTCTGCTTATTTGGTGCTCATAGAACCAGTGGTTAAACAATTTGAATACAACTCCTAGATGTATCTTTAGCATTTAGAAGAATGCTTGACATTTAGAAGGGACATGAGACACAATGGCTGAATGGATGAATAAATAGCCCCTCAAATTAGGCCTGCCCTCTGAAGCTTATGTTTATGGAATCTATTATCCTCTCCAAAAAAAAAGGGATAAGTCTGCTGTAGAAGGCATAGTTAACCTTTGTAAGGTAAAGATAAATATAAATTATTCTATCCCTTTTGATATTATACCTACCCTAATCATCTCCGTAGATAAGCAAGTGGTACACCAAAGGTAACTGTTTTGTCATATGAAATTATAAGTATGTAATTATTTATTTTGTGTGTGTATATATACACACACACTACATATAGATAAATAGATACATACATACATTCTGTGTGTGTATGTGTATGTATATATAATTTTAAAAATCAGTAGTATATTTGATCATGGAATAGAAAAGATTCTTTGATTAACTAAGATGAAAATATGTACCTGGATAAGTTAACTTGATATTTTATCCCTGCTTATTAAAATCATTTAAATTACTTGACAATCCACTTGTAACATTGCTTAGCTATGCTAAATTCAAGAGCCACTGATTATCTTCGGTTTGCCAGCTGGATATGTTTTAAGTGTACCGACATTTAAACTCCCTGTCTTTTCTTATACTTCTGGCTGAATCTGATGGTACTTTCAGTGAAATAGGAGTTATAATATCTTACCTATAATAGTATTCTTAGACAAGTTCTTCTTTCTTACTAAATGTAATCCATATTGTCTATTTAGATTTTTGCCTACTCTGAAATGCCTGATGTATTCATG